TTTTTTTTTTTTTTTGGATAAAGAAAAAAAATACAAACCTCACACTTTATAAAAGAGAGAAGTGGAAATTGACATTGCAAAATATTGATATTAAATGAGTCGAGTCGTCCGACTCGCCTATCAATAGCTCGACTTGACCCACCAGGCAAGCCTACTTGGCACTTGCTTCCCTAAATTGTGACTTGGTTTGCTCTATGAGCTCGCCCTTTGGTGGGGCTTATGAACCGTTTGCAGCTCGTAAATATTTCATTTTTTACTTTTTCTATAATAAAAAAAATTGAATTGAAAATTGTGCTTCTACGTAAAAAAATTATATTTCCTCTTTATAAAGTTGTAAAAATGATCTTCCTTTTATCCCCATTCGGGATCGGCTACAATACATATGCGGATTCAAAATTGTACAAAATGAATATTTCGTGTACAACAAATTTTTTTTTTTAATACAAAAAGTAAGATAAGTACAATATAATAACCACTAGAAGATGAAATATATTTGCAATTCTACGCTAGTGGTCTGCAATTGGCAAATACAAACATGTGCTTCTATTCTGATTACCACATAATACATTTTGATTTAACATATGATCTCTCATGATAGACCTTACGTCTGTAAGTATTAATAAAGTCGTGGATGCTACTAATAAGTCTTGAACTATATTAGACAATATTGGGATATTGATACAATTGTGCATTCCACCAATGAAGTATATTGAAGAAGCTAACCCTTACTAAAGTCTCGTCCTATGTTGATGGTCCAAATTAAATATATTGATTTTCATACATTTAAAACTATGAAAAACTTAATATATGTTACCTTTGAAAAAATGAAAAAAGTTGGGCTAGGCCCAAGATTTTGATGCTGCTTAGAGATGGAAAAAAATGAGCCCCGCCCCGGAACCCACACTGTGAAGAATAAAAAAAATTAAAAACAAATTACAAAAAAAAATAGTTAATTTAAAAAATAAAAACAATAATAATAAATGGGGCGGGAAATGGGGCAGGCCCGAGCCCCGTCTAAGGCGAGGCGGGGCAGGGCGGGGTGCCCCACCCCTTGCCATCTCTAATGCTGCTCGCGTGACTAAATGTGACTAAGCGCTTTATTTTTTCGCTATCAATTCCTTAATTTTGAATTGCTAACAAATTTAACTATTTTGTACACTCATGAGTCCAATTAACGTAATTTGTAGGCAGTAGTAGACACAATGGTTAACTTTTCAAACAAATCGAAGTTGGACGACTTCAATTGAAGTTATAACTTAATCTACAATTTTCATATCAATTACCATTAAATACAAAACGTTATTATAATTACAATTTAACCCAAAAACTTTTATAGTAATTGCAATTAAATTTAAAAACTTTATATAGCTACCACATAGACTTGATCGGACATATATTATCCAGGTTTCAATTAGAACATATCTAGTCGACTCTGTACAACCCAATTTAATTTTGAATATTTAGTTTTTGCATTAAAGTTAAAGCACTGAATTCTCAGAATATATAAAATTACATAAACCAATAATTCTGTAAAACTTTCATCTGACCTTTTGTACGTGTCTATTATCCTCGTTCGAGATTCGATAATTAGGTACGAGTATAAATTTAATTGAAAATCATATTTATGGACGAAGAAAAAAGAAGGCGAAGAAAAACGATTGTGTTACATATATATATAACAAGTTAACAACTTACATAATAATTTACCAACATATAATCTGATGATATTTAATTTGATAAAAACTAAAGGAATATATGATCCTGCTAAATTCAGCCATTGATGTCACCCACATCACTAACAATGTTACAAATGAAGACGCATTCATGAAGATTGAAAAACTAAAGGAATATATGAAAACCACCTGTACTGGTGGAAAACTAAATAAACAATATACATAACGTTTAAATCATCTAATTGCTATGCAAATAACAAAATACATTTGTATGACTGTGTGTGTGTAGAATAATAATTGCAAAGTTATCCTGCTTAAATCATATATCAATGACACCACAACAGGTAGAAAATATAGATGATTACATGAGAAAGAAATTTAACAACATATTCTGCAGCATTAAACAAATCATAGGTACGGGTGGAAAACTAAAAATCTGAACACAAAATGACAATAGAAAATTAATTTAAGGCATAAAAACAGCAATCAACACAGATAGTGTAAAAATCTAGTTCAGTTTCGATGATTTCCCAGACAATCCAGATCAAAGTAACATAAACTAAATGATCAATACTGGGTCAATAGCTCAAAAGCTCCCCTACAATACTGTTCAAAATAAGAAAAACCATAAAAGTTCCTAGACACTGTAGAAATCTATGCACGTCTGGATTTTGAATTACGGAGGAAGACAACTCTGTCTCTGTCTTTTCCCCGGACAGTCATCAAATCATCCATCTTTTTTAAAATTCTTACAAGCTTTGATGCACCATATTCGGAAACACAAAGAGACCTCCCGTACATTTTGTGGTATACTACAGGAAGCCGAATTAGAGGCAAACCTCCCCCTGACAATTCAAGTAACTTTACGAGTCGTCTCCTCAAAACATTTAGATCTATCGGCGGCACCTGGGTTGATTCATTCTGGTCACTAGAAGCAAGTTCGCCTGCTGAAACTTTATCCAGGGTACATGTAAAAGTTTGTGATCTCGAAGTCATAAACTCTGATATTGAATTATCATAACATTCAGATATAGACTCTGATATCATTGAGCAATTCCGTGCGTTATAATAACTTTTCGAACTGTATATACTTTCATTTACTGAGCATTCCACTGGAAACCAAGCAACATCTGCCCGAGTTATTACAGTCTTCGCCCGCGGCAAAAACCCTTGCCCATGAGCCAGACTAGACCAGTCCCACAGAAAATTGGCTGCATTACTTAGAGCTGACGGGACTCCCACCTTAGATGGAATAACAAGGATAATAGTGTATTTAAGTCTACGTAGCGTATGAAGTGCACGAGCAAACTCTACGTCTCCCGAGATTAACAAGATTGATGAAGGCGAAGGATTGTTGAGAGTAAAATGGAACATGTCAACCAAAATTACATTGTGGACGGCATCGTTGGGAACGTGTGAAAGTTGAACTCCTGTCCCATGGCACCCCTTTGCTAGTCGCCTCGGAACAACGTTAAAATCTCCATATGCTGAAAACATTGTCACCGATCCATTAGTTGTGGGATGGGTTCCTAAACCCATCGAAATGTTACCAGCCACATCCTGTGGACGCACATCACTTGGCACAGCGCAATTCTCAATGTCCCAAAATATGGCAACAGGTCCCTGTAAGGAGCTTTAGATTTTCCGCGAGGAAGATTGATGGGAATTTATGCTTAAATTTGGCATGTGTTTCTGACTTATCTCCCAGTATTCTGTGAAAGAAGTTGTATGTATATTTAACATAACTGTTATCTAATAAACTTCAGCAAATTCGAAGAAAATGGCGTGAATAACTGAAAATTACCAAACTAATTTAAAAATTACTAATCTAAAAACCTTTATCATGTATGGCAATGCGGCAAAATCACTTGTCTAAAAAGTAAGATAATTTCCAGAAAATAGGTTTTGTTAGTAAAAAGAGTAACTTTGAAAATCTCGTTTGGCAAAATAAGTTAAGCATACTTTTAAGTAAAATCAAACACAGATAATGCCACTAGAGGAAATATATACTTGAAGCCAGGGACGGATCAAGGATTTTTTGTACGGGAGCTGAAACTACTTAACAAAGCCAATGTAATAAAATTTAAATGTACTAAAAAAATTCATTAAAGAACATTATTTATTTAAGTCGTTCCCAATTATGATTTGAAACATAAAATTCATCTATAATAGAATCTAGGGCTCCGTCTGCTACCGATTTTCCATGGCTTTTCAGCAAAAATAGGACCGTTAGTGGGGCCCGGCTTAGAGAGTGGCGGTCAAGAATTGCGGCCCAAGGGTTAGAATTTGACTGAAAATCTTGCCAAAAATTTTCGTCAGACAGGCTCTAGATCGATTTTCTCAACAAGTTCTCTTTCTATAAAATGTATCAAACAATGTATTCAGGCCCCATGGGATTCAATTCAAAAATGGGACTCATTTATCAGAGAAGCAAAGTTTTTTGCTTTGATTATATCGCCCAAGTCGTTAGTTCAAAGGTTTTAAATTTTTTTTTTCCTTTTAAATTTTTGCTATTCCTATTTGATTCTGACTGCATTTTTTATATTCTTATTCCAAATCCTACATAACTGTAAGAAAAATTATAGGGGCTCATAAAGGTTGTATAGTAAACAATGAATTTTGAGGGTTTAATTTGATTGGTTTTCCTTCACGAATGACAAGCATTTTTTTTTTTAAAAAAAAAAAGTGACACTTAACTTTAAAAAGTAACATTGTATAATAAAAAAGTGATACTCGACTTTCATAGTATTTTTTACTTTCAAAACACTTTTCATATGATTTTCCAAAAGATCCTTAATTTTATGAGTTCTTTTATAAGTTGCCCTTAACAGGGCCGATTCCGAGAATTTAGAGGCCCCTCCACAATTCAACTGGCAAGCCAAATCCAACCTCCCACATTCACCCATTTGAGCAATAAATTCAACAGTAAAATTTGTTTAATCCAATTCCATAATTCCACCCAATTAAAAATCCAATTTTTCTTCCCATTATGAGGAAATTGCCTTATTTTCTGCCATTCATAAGAATCCTTAATGAAAATTGAAAGCACATAATATTTTAAACAAAAATCAACACTATGAACAATATACTGTAGATCAGCTAGCTGAACTTCCAAAGTTTACATAATTAAATTGAAACAAACATTCTCTTAATCTATCATTCTTTAACTCGTGAAATTTATCAGATTATTAATCTAAGGTTACTTAACTATGAAAACAATAATCACCATACAACTGCTAAGAGGGTTTTATGTTTCTGTTAACCTAAAAACTAGTTACCATTTCAAAGAATTAAGATTTAAGAAATTCAATTCGTTTGCAGCTCACACGCTCAAATTTGGGGGGAAAAAGGTGACGTTTCAGTGATTTCACCCTCAACAATCAACATATTCTTCACCTTTCCCAAAATAAGAAACGAAATTCATAACCAAGAAAAAGAATTAAAACAGGAATTCATCAAAGTGCTGTGTGCTGAGTCCAGGGAATAAAAACCTTATCGTAAAATATTTTGATTTCAGCCTAGGAAGGTGCGGACTGCGGACGCCGGACGAGGTCGCCGGTCGGCAGTATGTGAGGCTTGGGAATTGATCGAACCTGCCCTCTGATGATTGACTTCTCTAGAAGACTCACTACCAACACCAAGCATCAAAGATTAAAGGCTTGTTTGGAATTTGGTGAGATAATGTTGTCTGTTGATGTCTTGAAGCAGCCGAGAAGATGAAGAAGACCAAGAGTTGAAGATAGTAACAGGTAGAGTTAAATGTTTGAACACACACTGAACTTTGAATAATGTCACGATTTACTCACTGAACTTCAAATTGCACCCCATTACTCACTGAACTTTATACATTTGCACTCCATTACACACCGGCTAACTTCCGTTTCTAACGTGTGCCTACGTGGATAATAAAATGCGTACGTGGCTGTTAACTCTCTCCAAAATAAAAAATCAAATGCCACCTCATTTAAATCACAATCTCCAAACAAGCCTTAGCCCATTCAATTGAAATCGTGAGCCTCTTCCCCCCAAACAGTGTTCTTCCATTATTTCATCTTCCAAAGCCCATCCTCTCCAAAATTTCATCTTCCAATTCGAAATTGCTGAGAATCCTAACCCCCAAATCAAAACTATATCACAATCAAGGCCAAATCGTGACTACGAAGCTCGGATATGTGAAGAATCGCACATGGAGGGACCAAATCGAGGTAAACTCCAAACCTTTTTAGATCATTTTAACTTACCTTGCACCTGCCTACATCCTCTCCATGTGCGAAAAATTATTAGAAAGTGTTGATGTACAATTTCATCAACTATTAAAATTATTGGTGAAATTTAAATACTTGACCTAGGTAATGGGTAAAATAGAATTATTTTCTATCGGTCTCAATCAGATTTTTTTCCTTTGCCAAAATCTTTACTCACACATTTTAATGCAACATTCTGTTAAAAATTAGAGAAATGAGATTTTTGGATTATTTGAAATCTTTATGGCTGTTATTGATTATGAAATTGTGATCAAAAAAATGATTTTATTTTGTTTAGCCCTTCTATAATTATATTTTTAATCCCAACCTCTACATATAAAACTAAGAATCATATGTTGTTTTGTTAAATGTTTGGATAATGCAATGTGGCTTCTGTAATATGTAGAGAGAAACTGATTATGATCTTTTTCAATCTCTTTTTGCTTATCATTTTCAATTTCTTATTGATATGACAGATTCAGAGGATGACATTGACTTCAATGATTCCGATATTGACATATGGTCCAGTGAAGACGATATGCTATTCGACAAAAATGTTACGGAGGGAATTGAATTAGATTGTGAGGGGAGGACAACCAAGCGAGGAGAAGAGGATCGTGCAATAGTAGGACATGACGAATACCATGAGGTCGATGATCTTGAATACCCATCATCTGAAGAACTGTTGTCCGATATCTCATCAGAGGATGATGTTGGGTATCGATTTCCCGAGTTTATGGCTGAAACGGATATGCGTGATCCAAAGTTTCAGGTAGGTCAGTTGTTCAGTTCTGTACAAGAATGTAGGAAGGCGATTCGAACTTACGGTGCAGTAAATGGATATAATGTGAAGTGTAAGGCGAATGATGAAAGAAGAGTTCAAGGCATATGTAAATCAGGGTGCACATGGAGAATATGGGCTTCGAAGATGAATAATTCAGAAACCGTTCAAGTGAAGTCATATACGCCTCAACACACATGTACTAGGGATCAATACAATCGTCATTGTAACTATATTTTCATAGTTCATCGATACATTGAGCAGTTCAAGGCAGACCCAGAGTGGAAAACCAAAAGTATGCAAGCAACTATTAAGGAGGACTTGAAGATAAATATCACTAGAAATGTTGCTTGGAAGGCGAGAAGATATGCGAAGCAATTGATTAACGGCACTATCGAAGAACAATTTGCGGTACTCAGGTCATATNGGAATTCATCAAAGTGCTGTGTGCTGAGTCCAGGGAATAAAAACCTTATCGTAAAATATTTTGATTTCAGCCTAGGAAGGTGCGGACTGCGGACGCCGGACGAGGTCGCCGGTCGGCAGTATGTGAGGCTTGGGAATTGATCGAACCTGCCCTCTGATGATTGACTTCTCTAGAAGACTCACTACCAACACCAAGCATCAAAGATTAAAGGCTTGTTTGGAATTTGGTGAGATAATGTTGTCTGTTGAAGTCTTGAAGCAGCCGAGAAGATGAAGAAGACCAAGAGTTGAAGATAGTAACAGGTAAGGAAATAGGTATTTGAGGTGTTTTTATTTGGGCTTTTTGGGCTGTTTTCTAGGCCCTTACTATTTGATGCTGGCATTTTTTCTTTTTTTGAGGAAATTACACCAAATTCTAGGTTTAGATTTCCATTATCACAAATCAGATATCTAGTTTAACAATTCAAATATCAGGTTTTTTATATCTAATTAAATAATAATTAATTAATTATAAAATTTCATCACGATCAATAATTTAATCCAAAATCAAACCTAAATTTCCTCATTCCTCCCGTTCAATTTCCTCTACACCCAGACCCAATCGACGTCTTCTCTCCCCTCTTCACTCTCTTCACACACGGTAACGAAACCACCACCACTGCCCACCGCCTCCACTACCACCAACCACCACCACCGCCCTCATTTCTCCACTTTCTCACCGTTCTCCACTCTCTTCACTCACGGTGACACAGCAGCCACATGCCTCAACCGCCACCGTCTCGTGCTGTTTAACCTTGAAGCGGTGACGAAGATCGAAGCGGTTCGTTTCTCTGTCCTCTCTCCGACGCTCGAAGCGGTTCGTTATTAGTCTTCTCTCCCTACTGCGATGTCGTACGCCCACAAATTGGGCAGATTTGTAATTTCTTTTTTTTTCCTTAAGTTTTTGAGTTTGATTTATCAGATGGTTGTGGTGGTTGCAGATCTGTTGGATGTGATGTTGGGTGTGTGTATGTGTGTAGCGGCGGTGCGGTTGGGTGTGTGTTTGTAGGTATGGCGGTTGGGTGTCAGGTGCGTTAGGCGATGGTGCA